CCGGGTAAGATCGGTGAGCCTCCTTTGCTGGGTGTATTGGTGCTCCGAGATGGGGGAGGTACCTGCAAAAGAGACTCCGATACTAAAATTAGGGTTTGCATGAGTAATAGTCTCATATATATAATGCACGTACCATGAGACTGACAAACTCGTCGCACCCATCTCCTTGGCCAAACTCATTCCTGCCAATAACGCTTCGTACTCGGCTTGGTTGTTGCTTGCCCTGAACTCAAACCGTAGTGACTGTTCTAGTAGGATTCCACCCGGGCCCTCCAAGACGATTCCAGCTCCGCCTCCTCCTATATTTGACGCACCGTCAACTGATAGAATCCATTGGGTTTCACCGACCGTGTCTTCCTTGGCTGGAGGGGTCAACTCCATCAGGAAGTCGGCCAATACCTGGGCTTTGATTGCTCCTCTCGGCTCATACTTGATGGAGAATTCAGAGAGCTCGACTGACCATTTCATCATTCTACCGGCCAGGTCGGGTTTTTGCAAGACTTGTCGAATCGGATGATCAGTACGAATTATCACCTCGTAACTCTGGAAGTAATGCCTCAATTTCCTCGCAGTGACCAGTATAGCGAGGGCTAGTTTTTCGATTCTCTGATATCTTGTCTCTGCTCCCTGCAAAACCCTGCTTACAAAGTAAATAGGAACTTGGGAAGCTTCACGCTCTTGAACCAGAACTGAACTGACAGCACGGTCGGACGCCGAGATGTATACCAACAAGGGCATGTCTAGTCGTGGTTTTGTTAAGATCGGCGGGGATGCTAACGACTTCTTGAGCTCGGAGAAGGCTTCTTCACACTCGGTTGTCCAAACGAACCGGTCATTCTTCCTCAGACATTGAAAAAGAGGCAGGGCTTTGTCAGCCGCTCTTGATATAAATCGGGAAAGAGAGGCCATCCTCCCCGTTAATTGTTGTACCTCCTTTACTGTAGAAGGGCTTCTCATGTCGATGATCGCCGAGCACTTGTCCGGGTTCGCTTCAATGCCGCGATGAGTCAACAGAAACCCGAGGAACTTTCCCGCCTGGATGCCGAAAGAGCACTTCTCAGGGTTCAGTTTCAGCTGGAACTTGCCGATGGTATCGAACAATTCCTGCAAGTCGCCAAAGTGCCGACTGACGCTTTCCGACTTCACCACCATGTCGTCTACATAAGCTTCCACATTCCGACCGAGCTGATTCACAAGGATTTTGTCCATCAGTCGCTGATAAGTCGCCCCTGCGTTCTTCAGACCGAACAGCATGACTCTGTAGCAGAAATTGGCCTGATCCGCTATGAAGGCGGTCTTGTCCTCATCTGCGGGATGCATTCGGATCTGATTGTACCCCGAGTATGCATCCATGAAGCTTAGTAACTCGTATCCCGACGCACCATCCACCAGGCAGTCTATGTTCGGCAGCGGGTACGAGTCTTTTGGACAGGCCTTATTGAGGTCGGTGAAGTCCGTGCACATTCGCCATTTCCCACTGCTCTTGCGCACCATGACTACGTTTGCCAACCAGGTCGGGTATTGGATTTCCCGAATGTGTCCTGCCATCAGTAATTTCTGCGTCTCTTCCGCGATAGCCCTTTGCTTCTCCTCGCCGAATTTCCTTCTCTTCTGAATTACTGCCCTTGCGCTAGGGTCTATGGCCAACTTGTGACACAAGAAGTTTGGATCAATTCCAGGCATGTCGCTGGAATGCCATGCGAATGCCAAGACATTATCCTTCAAGACCCTCACTAATTTCTCCTCATCTTCTGGAGTCAAAGAGGTGCCTATCTTTACCTTTCTCCCTTCCATTACCTCCACTTCCTTGACGTCTTCTGCTGGGGCGGGTCGGTGGTCAAACTGACCCATTCTGGGGTCTAGCTCGACGGAATGGACCCCCCTCTGTACTTGATTAGTGTACAGTCGTCTTCTTGTCTTCAAACTATCCCCGTAGCACTTTCGAGCGACCTCCTGGTCTACCCTGAGGACCCCCACAGTACCATTTGGCAACGGGTACTTTAGCTTCAGATGGGGGGTAGACACGACCGCTACCATCTTGTTCAAAGTCGGCCTGCCGATCAGTATACTATATGACGATTGAGCATCGACCACCAAGTACCGAACAACCACCGTCTTCATCTGAGCTCCTCCTGGGTCAGAAAACTGCTCATACTTCCAGAGTTACGAGGTGATAATTCGTACTGATCATCCGATTCGACAAGTCTTGCAAAAACCCGACCTGGCCGGTAGAATGATGAAATGGTCAGTCGAGCTCTCTAAATTCTCCATCAAGTATGAGCCGACTGGTCAGTATTAGAAAAGTTTCTGGTCCATCTGGGCTGCTTGGCCGAAGGTCGTCTCCAAATCGGCGTATCCCCTTGCGATGACTTGGTCCCCTGCAAAACCCACTAGAGTCCCTGCATAAGGAATTAGTCGGTCGTTAGGAATTTTCATTCCCTCAAAAGTTTCCCAGAATAAAATATCCACGGAACTTCCCTGGTCAATCAACACATGCTTCACATTGTACCCCATGACGATCGCCGACACGACGATGGGGTCATCTTCATGAGGCGCTACTCCTTCGTAATCCGAATCCGAGAATGAGATCTCAGGCCGAGACGGTCGCCTGAATTCCGAAACTGTCAGTACCGACCGAGTGTACCTCTTTCGGGCAGCAGAAGTAGACCCCCCCGGCAAAACCTCCTGCTATGGTGTTGAAATCCCCATGAATGGGTTGCTGATGAGCTTCCGAGACCTTTGTCGTGGAATCTCTGGGAGGAGATCTCTCTCTACGTCTATCTCTCCTTGCGTCGTCATGTGTGCGTTTAGATCGCCTGTCGGACCACAACCCGGGAGGTCGCCTCCTCGGCATCGCGAGAAGCGGAGGTCCCCCCGACCTCCTCCTCCCCCCTCTTCCTCTTCCGGTGGGTCCTCAGGGGGGCAGCATCCTCCTCTAGAGGCTCGGGAACCTCAAGCTCGGAAACATTGTAGCGGTGTTTAAGCTGACGCCACAAGTTTCTGCCCATAATGCCTGCAGAAAAGAAACAGAAACACATCAATTGATTGACAGGATCGGTCTCGAGGACAGTTTTGATGCTGCCCAGGTCATGCTGCAGAGGGTGATAGGCATAGTGAGTCACTGGAATCCCAAGTGGGGCCAGCAGCGAGAAGACTTGGCCAAGCAGCAGCAGGAGTTGGCTAAGCAGGAGCAGGAGCTGGCCAAGCAAGAGCAAGAGCTGGCTAAGGTGAGGGGCCGGCTTCAGCCATGGAAGGAGGCGAACGAGATCCTGAGGGAGGATAACAAGACTCTCTCCGTGGCCCTTGATGAGGCGAAGCGGCGGGAGTCTGAACTCCGGACTGCGCGCTTGAAATTTTTATACGATTGGGAGTAGGGAGTAAACAAGCCCCCATCCCTACTCCCGCTCAGGGACAAAATGCCATAAGGCGGAACGCCCATCTTCAACTGATAAAAATGAAGAAAGACGCGAAGAGACACCTCTATACCTAGAACTGTACACAGGACCTGAAAAGCCCTCAAAAAACCCCAACTATTGGGATGCAACTGGCAAGGAGCCGCGTTGATGAAATTCAAAAAATCTATACAACTCAATTTCATCAAGAAACACAACATGCAATCAATACATGAACCAAAGTTACATATTTTTCTCCAAAACCCCAAAAACCTCAAGTAAAAAGCTACCCCCTTCCTCAAATCTACAACACAACCACAAAACATGTAATTCGAGCTAAAATCAACATATATAATACAACAACAATCAATTTACAAGTTTCTCTTATCTCGGATCTTTCAAACAAGAAAAAGAAAAAGGAGAATGCACGAAGAATGTGACTATAAGTTTTAGTTGAACGACTCTAATAATGATTATTTGCACTCCTGGCTTTGAATCTCAATACGACAACTCAATCTAAGCTTTGAGGGAAGAATCAAAGCTTTATTATGAAGTTAGAAGGAGGAAGGATCACTAATGGCTCTAGAGACTATTTCTCTAACTTTATTAATTAAAATTATTATTATGCATAATTTGTTGTTTAAATATTTTAAAACTCTAAAGACTTAAAAATTCTTATGAATTTAGTTATTTAGAAGTTGTTATGAGTTGAGGTTAAAGTTGACCAAATTTAGAAAAAAATATATAATATTTTCTTAAGAATTAAAATTTATATGTTCATTTTCTTAAGAAATTTATAGATAAGTAAAAATATTATATTAATAATAATTTTTCTTAACTAATTGATAATATAAAAAGTGCTTAATACCATATACTGTCGTTAAACTCAATAGTATAATCAACTTTCTAACACTAAATCCTACAAACAAAGTGTTAGCTTAGACGACCTTATATTTTACTTTTATAAATATTATATTTAATTTATTTATTTTTTCATAAAATAAATTAAAGATACAAAATTTTTATATAATTAAAAATTATTTTTATTTCATATACATTGAAATAAAGTGAAATAATTAAATATATTTAATCTCATAATTTTATTAACATATATATTATATAAAATACCCATTTCATTAACATCATTTTAAAAATATAAATATATAAAAATATAATTTATTAAAAATAGTTATTATACAAAATATTAAAAAACGAAAAAAAAAACATTTGTTTTACTGCTCTACCTAAAGATCAGAACTATGTTACCGAGGCTCAATCGATGATGACCGTTCTTTGAATTCTTCATCTTTCTGAACAAACTCATTGCTATCCTAATCCCTAATTTTTCAACCGCCGGTATATTCGCATGATACACACCGCATTTTCTTCATCTTTTACTGTCACTGATTGTTAAGGTAAATTCCCGTTTAAGAGGTCAATCCTTGCATTGGTAGATTCTTTCCGAGCTCGTTTCTCAAATTACACCTTATAAAGTTGAACAGCAACCTTTTCACTCACATTTTAACTGTTTTAAATTTGTAGATTTATGGAGCAGATAGAGGTATGTGTTGATACTGTTGTAGGAAATTCTATGTTGAGAGATATCTCCGATAGAGGAAGAAAATGCGTTACAACAGGTAATTTGAAGTTTATCATGTTTAATCACCTCAACAAATTGATTATGTTTGAATACTTCATAATTATAAATCTATACATACATGGGAGATACCGGTTGGACAGGACCAGCTAGAGGAATTATCTTTGATGAAATTTGTACTTCAAATTTTGTATGCCTACTTTTGCCTGAATACTCTTCTAAGCATGCTTTGCTACTGATTGGAAATTTCACAGCTGATATATAACTAAATCCGGAAGTTCTGTGTTGGACAAAGTTTTGGAAAACTAAATTTGGTTCCTGCTCCATAATTGTGTTCCCTTTCAGAGATTGGAACCTGTTGTTCCTAGTAGAGGGAGGAATACTGATACCTTAAATGAGGCTTACTTAAGGGTCTGTGAGGAACAATTATATGCTTGGAAACTTAACGTGGAAGGTAAGTTTTCTGAGTTGAAAATGCAAAACTCTTATTATTATTATTTTTATGCATTCTCCTGAGTTTGTTTATCTTTCTATCTCTCTCTCTTTACATACACACATCTATCAATTTTGAGGTCCTTGAGAGTGTACTTTTTGCGCTTTAAATTATTCTGAGTTGAAACAATATCATTATATCATGGTGAGAGACAATTGTTGTAAATTACTCTATCTTATTTTGGGAGGGGCCACTTAGTCATTTTTTACATTTTAAGAAGCATTCTTTTTTAATGGTGTTTCTGATATGTGATTTTGGTTGGCAATCCTAGATTTAAATATTTTCATAGAAATCAATTTATATGGATTTCAGGCTAGCAAATATGAAGTTGTTTTCATTGGCGACATATGAGAATTTCTGTTTCCTATTGTATGTAATTTGTATGGATTTCAGGTTAGGTCCCTCAACATGAAGGAGTGCCTTTTTAATTTAATTTTTATGGTTTTACATGAAAATAATTTTTATGGTTATGACGATGGATTTGATGTAGTCCTTTACAGTAATTTTATGACGTTGAACAAGGAGTAAAGAATATGATGTGAAAATGAAATATAATAGAAATTTCTCATATCCTGTTGATGTATCAAGGTTTTATAAAGGACAGAAGTTTAATTGGAAATAAAAGTTTTCTTGACATTTAATATGATATTTTGGTCATCAGAATGTGTCACACACACACACCCAGAACAAAGAACCATAGATGGCCTCCACCCTGTAGAGTTAAAAATGTTCATAGAGCCTTGAGATAAATAAATATGCTGGCAGAGCAGATAATGTTAGTTACAGCTAAAATCTTGATATTGAAGTTTTGAAAAGTGTATCAATTTTGAAAATTTGGAAAATTAAGATTTTTTATTACAGAAAAGTGGCTGTAGCTAGGGACAATCCAAAAAAATGGCATATTGAACCTAGCCCATTTGGCCATATGGGCTTTTGATTTTGTTGGCTTTTTGGACCTGGTCCATCTTAACTTCCCTTGGTGTGAAGAATACAACTAACATTTTTTGGGACCAATTCAGCAGTTACTTATGCTTTTTACCCTTATATAGACATAAAACTCAATACTAAATTATGTTATTTGGTTAAAGTTGAAGTACTGGGCATGAGGACAAGAACATAGAACTGAGTGAGACATGGAATGAAGTTGATTGAAGCTGAACCTGGTGGTGGTCGGACAGGCTGAGTTAGCCAAACCAAAAATGAAGGTCAAGCAAAAGCTTCACCAAGCCATGGATTTGCTGTACTCTCATGGCCCTGCTTCTTTTGACGATTACACTCGTCTTGTGCTTCATTGTGCTCGAGCCAATGACTTCATTCAAGCAAAGAGACTGCAGTCTCACATGGAGCTTTACCTTTTTCAACCAAAAGATTCCTTCATCCACAACCAACTCCTCCATTTGTATGCCAAATTTGGCAAGCTCTCAGATGCTCAAAATGTGTTTGATAACATGACTAAGAGAGATGTTTATTCTTGGAATGCCTTGCTTTCTGCTTATGCAAAGATGGGTATGGTTGAGAATTTGCATGTTGTCTTTGATCAAATGCCTTATCGTGATTCTGTTTCATATAACACATTGATTGCATGTTTTGCAAGTAATGGGCATTCAGGAAAAGCATTGAAAGTTCTTGTGAGAATGCAAGAAGATGGGTTTCAGCCTACCCAGTACTCCTATGTGAATGCATTGCAAGCATGTTCTCAGCTTTTGGATTTGAGATATGGGAAACAGATTCATGGGAGGATTGTTGTTGCTGATATGAGGGAAAATACTTTTGTATGGAATGCTGTGACCGATATGTATGCCAAATGTGGTGATATAGATAGGGCACGCTGGTTGTTTGATGGAATGATTTATAAAAATGTTGTTTCATGGAATCTCATGATCTCTGGGTATGTAAAAATGGGGAACCCTGATGAGTGCATTCATTTGTTTAACGAAATGCAGTTGGCAGGTTTGAAACCTGACCTAGTTACAATTTCAAATGTTCTCAATGCTTACTTTCAATGTGGACGTGTAGATGATGCTAGGAATATATTTACCGAATTACCAAAAGTAGATGAAATTTGTTGGACAACAATGATAGTTGGTTATGCACAAAATGGAAGAGAGGAGGATGCTCTGATGTTGTTTGGTGACATGCTACGTAGAAATGTTAAACCTGACAGTTACACCATTTCTAGTGTGGTTAGCTCTTGTGCCAAGCTAGCTTCTTTGTGTCAGGGTCAAGTGGTCCATGGAAAAGTAATAGTAATGGGTGTTGATAATAACATGCTTGTGTCAAGTGCTCTTGTCGATATGTACTGCAAGTGTGGAGTCACTTTGGATGCTTGGATCATTTTTGAAACTATGCCTATTCAAAATGTGATCACTTGGAATGCCATGATTCTGGGTTATGCACAAAATGGGCAAGTTCTAGAGGCCTTGGCTCTGTATGAAAGAATGCAAGAAGAAAAATTCAAACCTGATAATATTACTTTTGTGGGTGTCTTATCTGCTTGTATCAATGCTGATATGGTAAAAGAAGGACAGAAGTATTTTGATTCAATCAGTGAACAAGGAATGACACCAACATTGGATCACTATGCATGTATGGTCACTCTCCTAGGTCGATCAAGTAGTATTGATAAAGCAGTGGATCTAATCCAAGGTATGCCTCATGAACCAAATTACCATATTTGGTCTACCTTACTATCTGTTTGTGCCAAAGGTGACCTAAAGAATGCAGAGTTGGCAGCTAGTCATCTCTTTGAATTGGATCCACACAATGCTGGACCCTATATCATGCTTTCCAACTTGTATGCTGCTTGTGGGAGATGGAAAGATGTAGCTGTTGTAAGATCTCTCATGAAAGAAAAGAATGCAAAAAAGTTTGCTGCTTACAGTTGGGTTGAGGTTGAGAATGAAATCCATAGATTTGTTTCAGAAGATCACTCACATCCTGAAGTGGGAAAAATCTACGGTGAATTGAACAGATTGATCTCAGTAATGCGACAAATTGGATATAATCCAGATACAAACATTGTCCTACATAATGTGGGGGAGGAAGAAAAAATTAGATCCATTTCTTACCACAGCGAGAAACTTGCTCTTGCATTTGCTTTAATTAGAAAGCCCAATGGAGTTGCACCAATACGGATCATAAAGAATCTACGTGTATGTGATGACTGCCATGTATTTATGAAGTTTGCATCAATTACCATAGCACGACCAATCATTACAAGAGATTCAAACAGGTTTCATCATTTCTTTGGTGGGAAGTGCTCTTGCAAGGACAATTGGTAAAGTCTCGATGAGATGGTAATCTGCTGTACTTTAACTGTTTCCAAAAGGAAGGGTGCTAGCAATGTAATATGCATTCCATATCCTTTCTAAAAGTTTTTGAAACAAGGGAAAAATCTATGTTATTGTTCAAGACCCATGATTAAAGTAGGTGTCAGCAAGAGAATACTATAGCCACGTGCAGCTCAAGATGTTTTGGACTATTAGACAAGTATACACTGAATATTGATCAGTACTTGACATCGAATGAGCAGGTTTGAGCATTGAATGAAAGTGTCCAGAAATATACTCAACTTGCTGGGAAATTGGGGCTATTTGCGATATATGCTGTATGTAACTCAATATTTTGGCAGAGGCAATTTCTAGCTTCTAAAGGTAAATTTGAATTATGATAAAACATATTTAAAATATATATATATAATTTTACTGATAAAGAAAAAGTTCAAGTTGTAATATTGTGTAACAACATCTTGTATTTAACAGGAAATTCTCCCTGTTCAATTTTTGTAATTGTTCTTTTGTTTCTTAGTTGCTCAGTTTTAGTTTCTGCTTCCCATCATTGATGAGAATACATGTTTGTTTTCATCTTTTATGTTTTGTAACTGGTTATATATTACTATTACATGGTATTGGTAGGCATAAATGTTTATAAGAATACTGTCATTAATGTATGCATGGATATTGGTTTTCTATAAAAATCATTGAGTGTGAAGTTTGCGGAAGATCCACAATAAGGGAAAGAATTCTAAATTGAATTTTGTGTGTATAAGAGGGAAACTATAAGTAAATTATTGACATGGTTAGTTTGAGTCATTTATGCATTGTTATTTATTTCCATTGCCTCTTTACAATGGTAAAAATGAAAGGATAATTTGATGATAACTTTGTCAGGGATGAACATAGCACCACTTGAACATGATTGGACCATAAAGCTCCAGTGCCAATGCCTGAGTTCATTGATATGTCTGCATTCTTGATCTCCAGTCTCCACCAAGGTTGTAGGATTGGTCCTATCAATTAAGAGGTGGTCCTGAAAACTCCATTAGGGTAAGTAATGTATAAAATAGTTTCAATTTCGATTCTCATTCTTCAATAGTTATTGATTAATGATTATTCTTGTGAAATTAAAATTTCATGCTTTGTTCTGTTATGGAGTTTAGGATCCATTGATGCCATATATTGTAAATCAAATTTAATCTTACACCAATAAATAAGTTTATTTATTATGAATGTTAAAAATATCCTGGATAGGTTGAATATAGCCTCGTGTTTTATCATATGCTGAAAATAACTATTCTAAATTTTTCTGTAAATTGGTTGGTGATTAACTATAATTCAACTATTGCATTTATGTAAATCACTTCTTACAAGGAACTACCAGATGCTGTAAGTTTATCTAGTCTTGCACATGATTTTATGGATCCTATTCTTAATTTTAATGAGTTGACCTTGCTTCAACGATTGATTATGTAGGTTGAAGTGATATGATATCCTAGTGTTATTAACATAATGTGATAGGAGACCATTGATTAAGAGGGTGTATGTAAGGCATAGAGTGGGAAAAACAATTGTAATTGAATAGTCTTTAAATAGGGAAGGGAGTTATTTGGAGGTTAGGAAGTTGTTGGGAGATGAGAGGTCTCTTGAATATCTCATTGTATTTCTCTGGTTGTATTGATCAGCAGAATTGCTCAATAATACACAGGTTCATGCCTAAATTATTTTCAGTCTATTCAATCTTTCTTAAATCTTTCTATAAACTTACAGCATCTGGTAGTTCCTTGTAAGAAGTGATTTACATAAATGCAATAGTTGAATTATAGTTAATCACCAACCAATTTACAGAAAAATTTAGAATAGTTATTTTCAGCATATGATAAAACACGAGGCTATATTCAACCTATCCAGGATATTTTTAACATTCATAATAAATAAACTTATTTATTGGTGTAAGATTAAATTTGATTTACAATATATGGCATCAATGGATCCTAAACTCCATAACAGAACAAAGCATGAAATTTTAATTTCACAAGAATAATCATTAATCAATAACTATTGAAGAATGAGAATCGAAATTGAAACTATTTTATACATTACTTACCCTAATGGAGTTTTCAGGACCACCTCTTAATTGATAGGACCAATCCTACAACCTTGGTGGAGACTGGAGATCAAGAATGCAGACATATCAATGAACTCAGGCATTGGCACTGGAGCTTTATGGTCCAATCATGTTCAAGTGGTGCTATGTTCATCCCTGACAAAGTTATCATCAAATTATCCTTTCATTTTTACCATTGTAAAGAGGCAATGGAAATAAATAACAATGCATAAATGACTCAAACTAACCATGTCAATAATTTACTTATAGTTTCCCTCTTATACACACAAAATTCAATTTAGAATTCTTTCCCTTATTGTGGATCTTCCGCAAACTTCACACTCTAGTAGGAGGTCATCTCACCTTATTTCCGAGATCCCATAAGGTGAGAGGTCTTAGGGCCTGGTTGCCAAGTCGGTTAATTTTCGAGTATGGGCTGTTGACGTCCTATCACCGTTAAGGAGATCAGATTGGCCCATGACCGAGACGGTACACTTGCCTTCCAGCCTTGAGCCTGTAAGGCGTGGAGGCTAAGCCGAGTGTTCGTCTTAACGGCATCGGACCTAGGCCGAGAATATATATCGGTCCGCGACCGAGACGGTACACTTGCCTTCCAGCCTTGAGGCTGTAAGGCGATAAGGCTAAATTGAATATACGTCTTAACATCCTCGGTCATGGTCCGAGAATATCGGATCGGCCCATGACCGAGACGGTACAAAAAGGAAAACGAAAATGAAAACGACGAAATTTACCTCTTTAGAAAATGAGAGTGCGAGAGAGTAAAAAAACGAATGGAGGGAAAGATTAAAGAGAATAAGATTGGAGGGAAATATAAAAGGTTGCTGACGATACTTTTAAAATCGGTTATTTAAGAACCGATTTTGTATACTACATACAAAATCGGTTTTGAAATAACCGATTTTAAAAGTACCACTTTTAAAATCGGTTCTGAAATAACCGATTTTAAAAGTAACACCTTTAAAATCGGTCATAAAATAACCGATCTTAAAAGTACTTTTAAGATCGGTTATTTTATAACCGATCTTAAAAGTTATGTCTGATACAACTTTTAAGATCGGTTAAATTTGAACTGATCTTAAAAGTGTTCATATTATTTACAAAATTTTCATCGCGTCACTTTTAAGATCGGTTACCTTATAACCAATCTTAAAACTCCGATTTTAAATCCATTTTTTGCACTAGTGTTAAGTCATCATTAATTGCATAGTCACACACTTATACAATCTTTAGATTTATCTCATTTGATGTGTCTTGGTTGTAACATACAACAAGTTGAGCTGATCGATTGAAAACATTTTGGTGTACTAGCCTAGTTGATTAAGCTGATCAGAATCAAGAAGTCGACTGAAAAATTATGTCATGTCTACTAGCTAAGACAACCTAGCGAACTAACATCCTTATATCGATTGACTAGTTGACTTCTTAAAGTTATAACATGGAGATAAGAAGAACATAAACGATAACATAGAAATTATATTGAAATTACACCATAAAATATGAGATGTTGACATACTTAAAAAACAATAATATAAATAATTTTATAAAGTTAAGATGAATAAATAACTCTTTAATTTGGGTACGGGAATATCTTGCTGTAACAAACGAAGATATGCCAACTAAAACAATGGCATTTAACAAATATATATATATATATATATATATATATATGATTGTTTAGTATTACAGTTTAGTACTTGAATCAGCTCCTAAGTCTATTTTGCATAATAAACAATGAAATGCGATATCTTCTACCTATAAAATACTGGAAAAATCTTTTAAAAAAATTCCACCAACCAACACATATAATAAAATAGGAAAGATTTATTGTCTACATTATCAATCAATAATAAATATACAAACAATTTATATTCTAATATTCAAAATATCCTTGCATATTAAGTTTATTTTTTTTTATTTTTGTAAATAAACAAGTAAGAATTTCACTTTTTAATTTGTGTAAATAATCTTTTTTTTTTTACTTTGAAATTAATGTAATAGGTTAAAATTAAAATGTTACATTATCTAACAAATGAATTAAGAATTGCATAATTTTAAAAATTAAGAACTTAAAATTACATGATTAAAAAAAGGACTAACATCATAAATTATAGATTATAAGAGAATAAAATGTACAATTTGAACTTTTAAAAAAATATATAATACAATATGTTGATTAAAATGAGTTAATCTGTAAAGTAAACTTGCTTAACTAAAAGATAAATGAGATAATCCGTATGATTTTATTTTAAAATGAATTAAATAACACCAAGTTCTAACTTGATTGTGTTACGTGTTAAATGAGTCATCCCACGTACAAATGCACGAACGTTTTTTTGGATTCATATAATGCGTGTTTCATATTGATTCATAAGTACTAATGCACACACACATAACTCTAATTAAGAGAATATTTTCTGCCAAATTTTGTGACGGTTAATAGCAAATACTCATTGAGTTAATAGTGTATTCGATTAAAAAAGTTGAGTAATGTTTTTTAAACACTTAAAATTTATAAATACTTAAGGGACATTTTCTTTCTGTTTCTTTGTTATATTATATTACCAATTATATTAATCACTTATCTCGTTTTATCTCTCTTAAAGGTGCTACCCCTCATGAAAATAAAAAAATAAAAAAAAATTACTCAACAATGTTAATTCTCTACTAACTATGCTAAAAGTTAGAGTATTATACAAACTTCATAGGTTTTATTTTATATACACCTTTAAATCATCGGATCAATTCCTTAAATTAAAATTTATATATATTTAAATAATTAATTTATATTTACCCTATTTATTTAATAGGTAAAGAACATATTTATATAATGGATTAAAAAAAATCAAAAAAATACAAACTTAAATTTGAGGAGACACATAGAATAATTATACTATTAAGTTTAATTGATCGATCACAAAAGATTTGTAAAAGATTAGATCTTTTTATGACTAGACCATTCAAAAGTGAATCTTTCTAATTAGATTTTAGGAGAATTTAAACTAAAAATTAGTGAATTTTTATATGACTAGACCATTCAAAAGTGAGTCTTTCTAATCAAACTTTAGGAGAATTAAAACTAAAAATTAGTGAATTTTTACATGACTAGACCATTCAAAAGTGAGTCTTTCTAATCAAACTTTAAGAGAATTTAAACTAAAAATTAGTGGATTTTTAATTATATTATGGAGATATTTTGTTATCATCCCTCTTATCTTGTTAACTACCAAGTCATGGGTTGTTACTCATATTAGTGAGGTATTTTGTTATCATCTATTTTATCTTGTTAATTGTCAAATCTCTTAAGAATTAAGTTAATGTGCTTGATCCACGTCTAAGAGGTGTTATAAAATAGTCAAAACATTCAATGATAAGTTAATTTAAGATTATATGACTTGACCTAAAATTGAGAGGATACACAATCCTCCTACCTCAAGCCAAAGTGGCGAATGAGACTTAAAAGACCAACTAAGGAGAACAAAAAGGTCAATTTCCTCAACAATTGTGTCATGACCTCTAGAAATGTTTTATCGATCCCACGATAAGCGTTAAATCTTATTCATTGTAAAATCTTTCAAAAAACTAATGTGTTCGATCACAAGGTGAGGTCTAAGAAATGTTTCAAAATAGTCCTAATATTTAATAATAAATCAATTTAAGATTTTATGGCTCAATCTAAAATCGGGAGAGTATAATAACCAATCAACCTTCCTCTTCAAGTCTCTTCACTTAAACATTTTGAGATTAGGGAATTGTGTGTTATATAGTCTAATTAACTAATTGAGCCAACTGACCTGTTTAGCGTTGTAATGCCCTTCAATTTTGATGTCTCAATAATTGTAATCTATGATATTTCACAAATTGACACTTTACTCAACTCTTCATTGGTCAAAATCTTTAGTGGATAGTCTAATTTGAAATATCCAATCACTTTTAGGATCAATGTCTTATTGAGTGAACTCCACAACACTTCACTCTATGACATTAATTCAACTCCTCATTGGTTAGAACTTTTCATTAGTTAAAACAATTTATGGGTAACCCTTTTTGAGATGCACGAAAGATTTTAGGATTAACTATTATTCCTATAAATCAACACAAAACTTTTTAGTATCTTTTTTCTCACACACTTTTTCAGAAAGCCGCTCATCCTTAAATTACTATATGTTAATCACATTTAGTTATAGAGTTCTTAAGTAATGAGTTACTGAAAAGTAAATACATTTTATTGGTATAAGTAATATTAATTAATTCATTTTAAGTCATCGTCAATTGCATAGTCACACACTTATACAATCTTTAGATTTATCTCATTTTGATGTGTCTTGGTTGTTACAAGCATCGAGTTGAGCTCATTGATTGGAAACATTTTTGTGTACTAGCCTAGTTGGTTAACCTGGTCAGAATCAAGAAGTCGATTGACAAATTATGTCGTGTCACTAGCTAAAACAACCCAGCAAACTAACATCCTTATGTCGATTGACTAGTTGACTTCTTAAAGTTATAACATGGAGATAAAAAGAACATAAACGATAACATAGAAATTCTTGAAATTACACAGTGAAATGTGAGATATTGACATACTTAAAAACAATAATTTAAATAGTTTTATAGAGTTAAGATAAATAAATAACTCTTTAAATATTCTAAATTTAGACAACAACTAGAGTTCCCTCAAAGTAATCTTCAATACTTCCAACAATAATAAGTTACTTTATAACATTGTAACAATTTTTTAAATAGTTTATATCATCTGTTATATTTACAAGCAGTCATTATGAAGACTATAATGGTATTCCTTCATCAAGACCACAAATTTCACCATAAGGAAGGAAATTGAACAACTATCTAATTTCATTGAATGCTTTAATCAACCGAAAAAATCACGGGTCAAATTTCACGTTGTACACTATTTTTTAATTTGAGTTTTTAAGCCTATGTGAGTTTTAAATTTATTAGTGATGCTACAAGTGGGTTTAATGAACCAAAATAGTTATTTTTAAAATTATAGAGATTAAAAAATTAATTTCAAACATACAAATAAATTTATCTTAAATTTAAGAAATTAAACACATATTTAAATTTTGTGTGAATTTTAAAAGTTTAAATTATGTTTAGTTTAATGTACATGCATTTTACAACTTTATATTGTGTTTAGTTTGAGTTATTGATAAGTATGATAAATTTATAGATTTTGTTGTGTTTGTAATGTTGTTGAGACTTAACAAATTTTGAATACTTTAAAATGTTGAATTATAAACAAGCAAAATAGTAATATTAAATATTTTATCAGTTGATTGAAGACATGATAATATGTTTCACGAGTTATTTAACATAATTTTTAAATTTTTTATTATCTTATAACGATAAATCCAATGAATTGATATAAAACAAACTAAATATAATTAATTTAAATCCGCTTCAAATTAGAGTCTGAAAAAAATGAATGTAAAAAAATTCAAGTGAATTAAAGTTGATTTAATCGAATTAAAATATGTCTCAAATTTAATTTAATCCAATCTTTTATCACTCTTTATTAAAATAGAGAGCAAGTCACTCTTGACACTCACAAAAATATCAAGATATTGATACACAGAGTCCAAGTGCATAATTCAACATTAGGATTAAGACCCACTAAGTTACATTCTTGCAATGTTTTCGACTGAATTACAGAATGTTTTAGACTTATTTTAGATATTAACAATTATTCGGGATTTGTATATTAACAATTACATTGGACTCATTATGAATATCAACTTTCATTTATTATACCTTCACGAAGACCACATATTTTGGTTAAAACAATCTAATTGGACTGAATATAGTATTGAAGGAAAAAAAATCACGTGTGAAAGTTTATCAGAACAGAAATTTGGAATGACAGATAAAACGGAAATTGCTATTGGCAAAAGTCCTTTGTGAGGGGAACGGGATAAGTAGTATTTGCCTACATGCATCACTGAATATAATAAAATGTATACATAAAAATAATAATAAGAAAAAAACAACCAAACAGATTACAACTCAGACCCTATTTTTGGTGTTTGCAGTTTGGCAACAACAGAGAGACAGATTTACATTTACTTATTTCTGAAGCTGGTGCCAGGCTAAGGCCGGAGGTTTAGGTTTGGATTCGACCAATTAAAAGTCAAACATAAGTAAACGTTTCGGATCACCCAAATTCATTTCATAACATGGACAGCATATTTCTTTTTAAATAAAAGTTAGATTCAAGATATCCTGCGATACTAAAGTAAACCACCGATCCTATTTTAGAATTTTTAGTACAATTATATGAATTATCTATCTAATTATTTTATCTATAGTATTAGTATGTATAAAAGGATATAAATTATAAAAGAAATCAAATTCATTCTTCATATCATAACTGGTGAGACTTAATTAAATGTGTGACACTTACAAATAGGATTATTATATATACTAAAATTATTATTTTAAATATTTAATGAAGTCACATATTTAAGATTCGAATTTAAATTTTATAGTTAAGTTAAAACAATTATATTTTATAGTCACAAGTGAGATAGTTTTTTCTTTTTTGGGTTTATGAACATATTTATTTAGTATCTCAAAACTAAAATGCGACTTTCAATGATAAAAAAAAATTATTTTAATACTAATAATAATAATCAATTTTAGAAGTACCTAGTTAATTTCCTAATATCCCAAAAGATATCTTAGAACTATGAAGTCAATAGTCTTAATTGAGCAAGATAATTAATCCAACTGGTTAAAAAATATGTGGCATGATTAAATTTTTTTTTATTCCATTTAAAAAAATTATCTCACATGAAAAATACAAATACTATAATAAAAACAATGAAGGTTTTCAATAAGTAAAAGCAAAATAAACCATGAAAATGGTATAAAGAAGTTGCCCTTTAAGGGATAAAAATAGATCAAATTTTAAAAGAGGTTTGTGGTCTAATTTTTTCAAAGTCTGGTATAACTTGACATATTTAATAAAAAGGTTAGGTTTAAGTTTTTTTATTTAAAATGATTGAACTTATACTTATAAAAAAGTATATTATGTATAATAAATCAACCTATTCAAAGCAGCAGCAGGAGTTGGCTAAGCAGGAGCAGGAGCTGGCCAAGCAAGAGCAAGAGCTGGCTAAGGTGAGGGGCCGGCTTCAGCCATGGAAGGAGGCGAACGAGATCCTGAGGGAGGATAACAAGACTCTCTCCGTGGCCCTTGATGAGGCGAAGCGGCGGGAGTCTGAACTCCGGACTGCGCGTAGCGACCTTTTGCGGGTGCAGAAATCTCTTGAGATTGCATTGCGGTCCAATGAGGCTTATGCTTCTCGGGTGGGGGAGCTGCAGGAACTCGCCACCTTCTCCCGGGCGCGGGCCCGCTCTTTGGAGGACGAGGTGACGTCCTCCCGTGACCAGGTGCGGGTCTTAGAGGATGTTGTGGCCTCTCTAAAGGGGGAGTTGGC